AAATGTGACCTTGACCGTGAGCGCAGTTCAGGTAAAGACCCATTAGGTGAGCAACATATGCACATTTCACTAGAATTTGACCAATATTTTAGGAGGCATAAACTTGTTGCTGAGGCTGTGTGAGATGAAAGCGGAGTGCAGAATTTTGTAAATTATTTAAAGCCAATACTTAATTGGAAATAGCACAAAGACATAAAAAATGTTACAACTGATTATTTTAACCATGTGTTACTTTAAATCTGATATAGCGACACAAACGTAACAACGCATTCAGACGGGGGTGACGAAAGTAAAATATATTCCAAAAAAAAAAAAATCAGAAGAATTGGTATTTATAATACATTTTTTAAACGTATAGATGTTTATAATCACTGCATGTGTATGTATTTGTACATACATACGCTATGATCATTACAATAAGATACACAGTGTTCTAACCTTTTCAAAAATAGGAAAGTAAAAAATTTTGACCTGGATTCTGGAAGTTTGGTGGATGGCTTTGGCAATGAAAACGAGTTTTGCTCAGTTTATACTAAATATAACACTTGTGATAATAGGCCAAAATTTTCTTATTGCTCTGATCGCTTCTGATCTACCAAAGTTAGACATCTGATGGCAAAAATATGAGAAACTCAATAATAAAAAGGCTCAGAGACGCTGCTGTGCATCTGTATTAGTAGTATGTATTAGCACCTCGTATTAGCAAAGACCAATGTTGGAAACAAACGCATGACCTTAGCAGGCTTTATATTCCCTATGCATCATGCAGTGACTCTGACTTTAGCGTATTAAACGGCCCAAAAACACCCATAGCTTAAAATAATCCACCCTTGGCTGAGATCAGGGCGAAATCTGCCTAATAACTTACAATGGCGAGGTTATAACAGTGAAAGACAATATGTCCTCCAATTTCCTGACATTTAACTCCTTTAATGTAATAACCACATTTCTTCTGTGCCTATAAACAGATAATGTTCATTATCTGCTCATAAGACGCGTTTTCCAAGCTCATCTGAAAGAAGAGGCGTTTGCAGGCATTTCAAACGTCCGCACACAACACTGAAGTGAAAAGCCAGACATCATCAAGAAAAGGAAGACGCAACAGAATTAAGATAATGGGTTAATAACAATGACACAGTCTCTTCAGTAGTATGGTAGTTCATTATTTGTAAGAAGAGTGACAGAAGAAAGGAAAGCTAGAGAAAAATGATTAAACTGTGGGTACAGTCTCTCTCATCTTTGGACACCGGCCAATCATGACACAGATTGGGTGTGAATGTTGAACTGTTGATTTCAGAAAATTGTTAGACTCTGACACCCAATAGGCAGTGTTAAAATGACGCACAGAGAAGGGCTTTCCAAAGATCAGTCCAAAACCTGACAAAAACCTATCACAGACTGATCTGCTGCTTTATATTGACACAAGCAGGATTCCCTTACTCTGTATTGTTTACTGCATGTTTGTTTTTAACACCAACTTGGATTTGCCCTCTACAAAACATTAAGTCCAGTTTAACATCCGCCTGTCACCCTCACCAATCTCGCTTCTGTTTGGACCGATGCCGTTGTACAGGCGGAGGTAGTTGACCTGGCAGTCGCTGTCTTCTATGTCCAATAAAGCAAAGAGAAAATGGATCCTCTTGTCATGCGGCACACTGATCTCCCACTCGCACACAGTGTTGTTCGGATACGTCCTTGGGTATCCCAGAGAGGACAGAGTCCCACTCTCGGGGCCAAGTACACTGGGGCCACAGCCATCACCTGTGGAACAACAGAAACACAGTTTGGGTTTTAAGAAACGCAAGAAAAAAGTGGGTGTGATTTACACCATCTAAAGTATAAAAGTAACACCACATCTCTTGGTTACTGGGCAAAAACTAGCTTTTGTTGATTTTGTGTTCATGGTCACTGAGATCTTGTTGCAATAGACAATATATTTACTCAGTTTCACTTAAAACAAGCAAAGATATGTAAGGTTTAATGTTTCCTTAAGCAATTAAATTGCAAAAACGTGACAACTGAGGTTTATTTTAAGTCAGTTCAACTTGCACTGTCCTGCTGAGTTACCCCGCAGTTCAAAATGATCCCCAATACAAGTATAAACAGGCAACGAGCTAGCAGCTTATTGCTTCACATCTGGCGGGGGCTTTACCTTTAGTCTGCTCAAACTGACTCAGCATTTTGAAAAAGTCAACAAAATAGTTGTTATACATAAAATGTTTATATCCATAGACCGTATATAAAAGATGGCTCTAACCACAATGACATCATAAACTGGTCAGAAAAGTTCTGAGGCGATTCTCTGAATTTTATGGAGAGAATTTCTAGGAGCAGCCAAGTAGGGGAGTGGCTCGACTTTGCTGGTCTCAGGATGGCTGTCTTGACTTCGTCAGGTGATGCTCTCGACCTCACACTTGGGCGTTTCGCAGCATGAAGCGGAAGAACTAAAGTAGTGTAGTAATGCAGATGTGACAGTAAAACTGTTGATTAGCTTGTCTGTCTACATTCCTACCTTGTGCTATGGACACAAGCAGTGGGTAGTGACTGAAACAATGACGTTGCATACAAGCAATGCATGAGCTTCCTCCAGAGGGTGTCTTTGAGAAAAAGGTGAAGAACTCGAGGCAAGCGTCGCCTTTAAAAGGGGCTAACAATGACAATGCATGTAAACCCTGGAAAATGTCGAAAGCTGTCCTGTTCAACATATCGATAACACCATTATCTCATCAGGCAATCACATGACTGCAGCTCAATGCATTTAGACATATAGAAATTGTAAAGTTGACCAAGCCAAGAATCATAATGTGAAGAAACGTGATTTTAGTGACTTTAAACATTCTTTTTGTTGCCAGATGGACTGGACTGAATTGAATATTTCAGAAACTTCTGATGTACTCTGATTTTCCTGAGATCCATTTCTTGGGAATATAGAGAATGACCCGTAAAAGAGAAAATTATCCAGTGGGTGGCAGTTTTGTGGGCAAAAATGATGATGTCAGAGGTTTGACTTGACAGGAAGGCAACAGTAATTCAAATAACCACTCATTACAACCAAGGTGCACAGAAGAGCATCTTTGAATGCCTGATACATGAAACCTTGAAGTAGCAAGGCTACAGAAGCAGAAGACCACGCTGGGTGCCACAGCTGTCAGCTAGGGGCAGGAAACTGAGGCTACAACTCACAGACCCACAAGATAATGCCTGGTCTGTTGAGTCTTGATAAGACTGGTAGGTAGGTAGGATCAGAATTTGGCTTAAACATCAGGAAATAAATGATCCATCCTGCCTTGTATCAACAGTTCAGGCTGTTGGTGGTGGTGTAATGGTGTGGGGGATGTTTTTTTTTTGTACACTGCCACCTCAGCACCAACCGAGCATCATGTACCTGAGTACTACCTTTGACATCAGTGACAGTGTAGCCATCTCCTGATGGCTTCTTCCAGCAAGATAAACCACCATGTCGCAAAGCTCAAATCATCTCATACTGGAGTCTATAACATGACAATGAGTTGACTGTGCTCAAACAGGCTGAACAGTTGATAGATCTCAATCATGTCAATATGGACCAAGATCCCTCAGGAATGCTTCCTTGGTTTAGCTATGCCATAAAGAATTAAGGCAGGGGTCCGATCGAGTACTTAGCAAGGTGTAGCTAAATGTTGTGGCTGGTGAGTGTATGTTGACCAATATGAACTAGTATCTATCTTTCTCTTTTCTTTTTTTTAAGCAAAGCATAATTCAGAAAAATATGTTTGGGCTAATTTAGTGAGGGTGTCCTCACATAACGCAGTTTGCTTTCCAGAGCCTGATTCCTGTTGTTTATAATGACCTTTGCGGCACATGCAGAAGTGTCCAGTGCTGCTGAGTCCAGCAGGGATTTCACTGTAAGTCGCCCACTAGCTTGTGAAACACTTGTGGAATGACCAGTTTCTCACTTTAACATATCTGCCATACTTTATGCAAAATCTATACACAAGAAATTCAGATGTAATGACACTTGAACTTCTTACTTTTTGAAAACTTATAGCATTTGGTCAACAACAAAAACAAAGTTTTTAATGCTGCCATACTTTTAATAACAGTGCCTGTTAAATTATGTAATCCAATGCAGTAATGGTGTTCAGTGAAGGGCTAAGTATTACTTCTTGTTTAGTTTTTATAGACAATAAAAGAAAATGTTGGCTGTTCTCCAGAGTACAACACATGAACCTGAAAGTTAACGATTACATGTGAGAGGATTTAGAGACTTTTTCAAAAATTAAAAGCTGTGTTTCAACAGAGCGTGTGTGTGAGACAAAGCAAAGCCTCTGAGTCTGTGGATGTTGTGTGTGGCTCTGAGATAACACTAAGCAGTCACGCTTCATGGTGCTAACTCGATGTTCTGTGGACCTGCAGTTACGTAAGAGCCTCTCAGTGGACATTATCCAGATGAACAGGACAAAAACAAAGCAGCTTCCCTCACCCTGACTGACAAAAGTTACCGAGCAACTGTATGGTGCAGATTACTTTCATAAAAGGAGAGCTCTCAGGCTCAAGGAACAATACTAAAAGCAAATGTCTATCATCACACCCATCTATTAATGTGAATGTACAGTTAACGTGAAATGCAAGTTATGACACACTATGTCCACGTGTTTACAGCATTACCCCCACTGCTACCCCACCCCCAATCTGTGGCCACCTGAGGACTGTTGACTTTAAAATATATATACTTATATTTGCATTTAGCTATAATATAGCGTCAAGTTAGCATTCTCCAACCAAAATATATTGTTACCCGGGGTTGTTATGCTAGCTTTAAAGTAAAAATTGGGCTACCTGAAAAAGGCAACAAGGCCACAAGCACCCAAACGTGCTGTCCTCTCGTACAGAGACCTCAAAAACCAGACTCCATTAAAAAAAATATGTCAATTTAAAGAGAACAGGGGCACCAGGAAAAGCACACAAGCAGAATACTGTTGCTTTCAACGTTAGCCAAAACATTTCATGCAGCACGTTAATTCGGTAAGCACCCGTTTTATAAAGCGGCAGTTATTTCCCAACAGTATCAGTTTTTTAGGAACCGGTTTGCCTGGTTTTACTACAACCGTCTCACACCAAAAAAGAAAAACATCACGACGGGCGGTGGCGAGCTGTGCTCAACTCCACGTACACGCGCACACACACAGGGCCATGTAAGGTAGGTTTAAGTTTTGTTGACCATGACAACACACTTTAAACATCCCACGAAACATCGACACGTCTGTGTTTACACTTTAAATCGGCATGGCCGCGGGTTTCCGCGGTCACACACAGCTCGTCCAGTTGTCACTGCACTGCCGAGTGGTACAAACCTTTCTGCCCTCCACAGCTCTCCGTGGTGAGAATGATGAGTATCGACAGGACGAGAACCCCGGCCCCTGTCGGTCCCCTGCCCACCATTACCGCTCTGCCCATAGCAGCCTGCAGTCTGAATGCATAATGCTTGCTTCCTGGCCGGCTGATTCAACCTGTACCGTGGAAATAAAAAGAAAGGCAACCCTTCATCTCTTCGAGATACAGTCCGCGGGTGGTGTCTTCCTGAGGATTTTTTCTTCTTTTCTTCTCTTTTCTTTTGGCTTATCGCTCAATAGTCCAGTGGTTTGTGACAAACACACTATGGAGGTAAACGCTCCACACGCACACACACTTATCCAATCTGTGGAGCTACTTCCTCCACTCCACCGAGGCTCCTCCTCCTGGACTGGGATACCCGAGTCCCCCAAGTGGTCTAAATGGTCCTGTACTGCCTGCAAGCACCCCCCACCCCAACCTTCAGCACCTGCTGCACTCATATAATAAAAACGTCCACCCCCCAAAAAATCCACCTGGTCACCAAAAGGAAACACTTAGACAACACCCTGCAGACTCCACAATCCGTGCTTCTGTTTGCTTCTTAAACCACACTCTCCCAGTCTTAGTAAATGCAAAATTAAATCCTTTATTCAGGTAAAAGTCCTGCAGAGAGAAGTCTACTCATGTTTCAAAAACAAAAGCTCTCTTTGTGAGAATCTCTTTTTCGCACACGTTTGGACATGGCAGAGCAGGAACAGCACAGGTGTCAATAATAACTGATCACATCCTGCAAGGGCAAGTCAGAGGATCTGCTGTATAAAGCCATATTGTTCTATTCCATTATTAAAACATTGAATAGGATTTTAAAGTTGAAACAGGACCAAATCATGCTGGGTTTTACGGATTAAAGTGTTCAACACAAAGAAGG